ACAATGCCAAAAATCAGGACTGGTAAAAAAAATCTGTTGAAATTGGGTTTTGATAGAAAATGAGTTTTTGATTACATATCTTTTTACAGTGGCTGCTTTTTGTTGACATATTTTTGGCCAAAAAATTGAGAAATAATTATTTTTGATCAGCTTGAGCAAAAAGGCCAAGGAATTAAATGGGAACAAGATCAAACATTGAAGTTCTAACAATATTTTAAGATTTAAATTGAATATTTAATTATAAAGAATTTTTGTAATGCACTTGGTTCAAAGAAATTCAGAGTCTGAAATGATTTTTGTTCAAGCAGTTTGGAGTGGGGTCTACCTTCTTCTAGGTCAGAAAGCAGAGATCATCAGCTAGAATCATATAGAGGAATAAAACACAAACAAACATTTTCATTTGGTTGTAGGGGCAGACATTGAGGGACTCTTTCCAACTTTTTCTACATTTCTGCTTTTTATCCAGGTAGACATGTGAACTCCTCTGCTTGTGTAATTTCACTGTTTGGAAAAGTTGCATAATCAATCATAAATTTTCTTAGGCAGAAATTTGCTGTTTTCAAATGAAAATATTTTCTTCTTTCTAAAACCAACTTTAAATAAGCCACTTAAATTAGAAACTGCTCATCCATACCTCAACATTTAAAATAAAAGGACTAATGTAGAAAGCCATACTCCATTTAAGGAATCCTTTCCCTCCAAATCCCTTTACAAAACAGTGACATTTCTCATCCAACCATCATTTCTCTCTGACTGAGAATCCTTTTCCTAGCACCCAGGCAAATAAATAAGCCTCACTGCCTACTGAGAAGGTCAACACATTGGAGGTATGATGAACCAGAAGCAAGTGGAAGAGTCAATTTTATTACTGAGGCCCAAATTACATTCAGAAAGAAAGAAAAAAACCCTCCAAAACATGTGGTGGCGCTCTTTCAAGCTCTGCCCACTAAATTAACTGTGCCCATGTCAGTTACCAAAACAAGACAGTATTCACAGCAGATTGTGTAGATGTCCAAAATATTATTGTGCAGCTCTGAGATCCTTTGGGCTTCCTGAACTTGACTCCTTTCAAAAGCGATAAGGAGTCCTGGGGCACTTTATAGACTAACAGATGAATTGGAGCACAAGCTTTCATGGGCAAAGACCCACTTTGTCTGATACTACCCTCCTTTCAGTAGTTCTTTCTTGAGCATACTCAGACTTTTCTGAACTCAGCTCCTTCTTGACAGAAGAGGGGAAAGACTGCTATCATTTCCCAATTACTATCCATTTTAGGTAACCAAGTGAGACATCACCCATAGTAAATCTTGCCGATCTGTAATCCTGTCCTTTCTGATACAAGTAATAAAATAGTTAATACTGACATTTACATGATCAACACTGAGGGTGTGTCTAGACTACATGGCTCTGTCACCATACCAGAGAGGTTGACAAATGCCTTTGATGTCGACCGCAGAGCGTCCAGACTACAGTGCTGAGCCGACAAACAGCTGATTGGCACAGCGCGGCAGCCATTTTAATTTAAATGAAGTGGCAATTATTTAAATTTCGGCTTCATTTGGGTATGTCTAATAAACTAATCTACATGGCTCTGGCGACAGAGCCATGTAGTCTAGACATACCCTGAGCTCTTTTCAAACTCACATAGACATCCCTGCACTAATTACACCATAGGTTCACATCTTCTGATTTTCTTCACAGCTTCAGAGCAGCCTCAGAAGTACTGGTGCAGAGGGTGGACATATATCAGCCTTGTCTGAACCCTGATGGTGGCATTGATAACTATAAAAAATTTACCTTTAAAATAAATTTCACTCTTTTCACCAAGCACATGGAAAAAAGCTGCCTTGCCTACAACTGATGTCTGCATGTACAGGAGTAGCTTAGTACTGGGCATGAATCACAGTCAAAGAGGTTGATGAATTCTCTGATTTTTCTCCTGATGATTGTATCAATCTAACATATTTATCTTCATTTTGTCTAGATTGGACCTCCACTAGCTGTCATCCAAGTCCCAATCCCAGCCAGATTCTGATCAGATGAGCTAGAAATTTAGAATGTCAACAGCCTAATAAAGACAATGCCATCAGATCTCATTAACTCTAACAGGTTCCTGTGTAGATTAAACAAAAGGAATGATTGTGACACTCAGGATTCCTGGCAAAGAATCCCCTATTCTTTGTAACAAAACAAACAAACAAACAAACAAACAAAAAAAACCCCCCAACCCTCTCACTTCAGACTTGACAAACTCACTACAAATACATTTTGTAGAATATTTATCTATAAATGGTAACATGTAAGATGTCTACAGAAAATTTATCAAGACTCATAATCATTGTGAGATATACATATGGTTAATATTTAACGAATAATATATTTGTATTAAAAGTATGCTTTATGGACTTAGAGTCAGCCATGAAAGGCTAATAGGTCTTGGTGATGGCTCAGTCACACAGGTTAGTGAACCAATGCTAAACTCAACCATCTAGCCTTGCTTCATGCCAAAACTTTCAATGGAAAACCATCAGAGACAATTGCAAACAACTGAAACCACTTAGAGGTTGGAAAAAAAAAGTTTATAACAGACAAGTTTTGTCCTGCCTATGAATAGATTGTTTCAGTATAACAGAGACTTGGAAAAGATACTGTGATCTGGTTCACTGGGGATCACGAGGTTCTCATAAAAATTAGACCCAGGTGCATGTAAGCCAGCTAGCTCTACAATAGATTCAGGTTTCTGGGGAAAATTTGTTTTATTTGATAGGAAAGATAAATATTAATACATTTAGAACTAGCGTTGAGTTTTATGATTTGGTTTTGTAATGTAACCAGTTGTTTCCAACATTCTCTCATTTCTAGAGAAATGTACTCTTGCTTAAATAAACCTGTTTTTGTTTTATTCTAATTGCTCATCACTGTTGTGTGATTTTACAGAATCAGTAATTTAAAGTCAAACTAGTAAACTGGTATATATTGCTCCTTTGGGGCACATAATCTGGGTTATCCTGTGAACAGCTAGGGTATGTCTAGACTACATGGCTCCATCGACAGAGCCATGTAGATGAGGTTTCTAGACATACGGAAATGAAGCGGCGATTTAAATAATCGCCGCTTCATTTACATCAAAATGGCTGCCACGCTGTTCCGATCAACTCTTTGGCAGCACAGCGCGGTAGTCTGGACGCTCCGCGGTCGACAAGGGAAGCTCTTATCGACCGCCCCATTATGCTATAACTACTCAAAGAGAGAGATCGTGGAGTCATTTTGGATAGTTCATCCACTCAATGTGCAGTGGTAGTCAAAAAAGCAAACAGAATATTAGGAATCATTAAAAAGGGATAGAGAATAAGGCAGAGAATATCGTATTGCCTCTATATAAACCCACGGTATGCCCACATTTTGAATACTGTGTACAGATGTGGTTGCCTCATCTCAAAAAAGATATCTTGACATTGGAAAAGGTTCAGAAAAGGGCAACAGAAATGATTAGGGGTTTGGAAAGGATGCCATATGAAGAGAGATTAAAAAGATTTGGACTTTTCAGCTTATAAAAGAGGAAAACAAGGTGGAATATGAGAAACATCATGACAGGTATGGAGAAAGTGAATAAGGAAAAGTTATGTAGTTGTTCCCATAACATAAGAACTAGGAGTCACCAAATGAAATTAATAGTAGCATGTTTAAAAGAAACAAAAGGATGTTTTTCTTCATGCAGAGCACAGTCTACCTGTGGAACTCCTTGCCAGAGGAGCTTGTAAAGTTCAGGATTTTAACAGGATTCAAAAAAGAACGAGATAAATTCATGGAGGTTAGGTCCATTGATACTTATTAGCCAGACTAGGTAGGAATGGGGTCCCTAGCCTCTGTTTGTCAGGGGCTGGAAATGTGTGACAGAAGAGGGGATCACTTGATGATTACCTATTTTTATTCACTCCCTCTGGGGCACCTGGCATTGGCCACTGTCAGAATACTGGATACTGGGCTAGATGGTCCTTTGATTTGACCCAATATGGCTGTTCTTATGTTGGTTAAAATATGGCTCATTAAAACTTGGATCATTGTCTTATGGCTGGGGGGACTCACTTGACAAGAGACAAGGGCAAATACATAAGGGGGAAAGATGAAAGTAAAATAAAGATCTTGAATGTGGTTAGGTGACAAGGGAACCAGCAGAGAGATTCTAAAAAGGGCGATGTGGTGACAGTATTTAATAAGAACTGGAAGTCAGTGGGGCCAGGAGGAGATTACAATAATCATAATGGGAATAAGGGCCTGACTGAAAGTTTGAATTGTATGGTTAGAAGGATTCAGGCCGATATGGCAGAAGAAGAACAAACAATTTGGAAACACCCCAGCCATGTTTATCAAAAAGGAAGGAAGAAACAAAAATGACCTTCAGATGAAAGACTTGAATCACTGGGTGGACAGTGGTATTAATAGTAATCAGAAATGGAGGAACAGAGAAGGTTTGGGAAGGAACACAAGAAGTTTGATTTTGGGCTTGTTATGTTTAAATTAATGGTGAAAAATGCAGGAAATGTCAGAGAGACAGGCTGAAATGCAGGAATGGTATATATTTTTTAAATTCTGAAGATAAAATGTTTGTTTTAGATAAAACACATTTGGGCCTGTAATGCTTGTTTTTACTTCAGAATAACTTAATTTATGGAGGACTGAATTGCATTAGACATAATTCTCCTAGCAACCAAAAAGAAGCAGGTGGTAATGTCGAGAATCATTAACTAGTAAAATATTAATATTTTTCACTTCTTATTTTAATAAAATACTTTTTAAAAGGAAGTGGCAGCTAGATGGAAGATTTCAAATTGTGAAATGTGTGAATATTTTTTCACTTCCTACATTGCTGTTTATTTTACATTCTATTTTCATCTTTCCCCACTCAGTTTCCACTGTAGGAGTTGATGAGTGGAAATTCCAACATTACCAAATGTCAAGCTAGATTAAGTAAGGCTTCCCTAGCTATTTGGCTCCAAAAACCAAGATATTTGTTCTTCTGAATTTGTGTAGTATGATATTATACATTACAAAGGACAGGTACTGCTAAATATAAAGTTTTATCTCTATGCAAATGATTCATCTTCTAACTCAGGTTGGCAGTCTATGTCCAGAGTAGATACCTCATTTCAACAGTCTACATCAATAGTCATAACTGGCATTAGTTAATCATTTTACAGGAGAGGTTAAGGGGTGAGCAGTCATGGCAAATAATTTCGCCTTGGAAATGTTCTTTTGAAGTCAGGGTTGAGGCATATTAATGGCTAGTTTTTTATTGATTCTACATCTACTATATCTTTTCTATGGATATTGAATCCCATTCTTTAGACTTGTCACTTGAATATTTTGTGACTGAGATGGTTATTTAAAATCAATAAATTAAAAGAAGGTATGTTGTGGACCACATTGAAATGGTTACATTAAACTGCTGTACTTTATTTTACTTGTTAAACCAAGTTAGAGGTCAAATGAATTTTATAGGCTTGTTTAATATATTCACACTACTAGCATTATATAATAAGCATACCCTTTAAAGAACTCAGTTGATGCATCACCCAGATTATTGATCTGTGTATCATTAAGAAAACAAAGGCAGACTAGTCCTTTCATTTTACAAAAGGATATATTTTCCAGTTGTGTGACATGAGGACTTGGAGTTATTTAAACCGCCATGGGAGAAACAGCTAATGTAAATATTATGTCTTGATTGAATTATATTGGTTTACATCAGCAAAAGTATCTGGTTTGTTTCCTTTAAATTTTTTAAATAATTATTTTAACTGGTTGCCAACCATTAATAACTTAGTTCTAAAACAGTATTCCTAACAGTGGTTTTGAATTTGGTATTTACTAGCTGTTTCTGGTTGCTATCCAAGTAGGTTTCTGTGGACTAATTCTGGATAAATTGGAGGAGAGATAAACAGCATTTCCTGTAGTTTAAAGCCAACATAAATCAGACAATATCTCTGAGAGCAGCTGTGGAACTTAGGAGGAAGAGCAGCATGTGACTTGCTTGGGCTCTAAAGGATTTAATGTGATTCAAATCTAGAAAAGAGGGAGAAATAGTAGTAAAAACTTCAGTTTTCTGTTTGGTAAATTAAAAAAATCTTGAATAAATATTCTATTAAAAAAATAGTATGAGAGTTATTGTAACCCTGAAAGAAGGACAGGAGACATTTGACATGGATTTAATTAGGCTACAACTTTATTATTAGACATCTGGGACTACCTGGCACATAAAGTGTATAAGCAGTGCAGGTAATACCATGTTTATTCCAAAATTTCGGGGGAGGGGAAAGAGATTTTACTAGAACCCCCTCTTTTTTCAACCATCTCTCCAGCAAATTTTTTGCTAGAACCACGTATTATTTTTATTCAATAAAACATGGTTTCTATCACAAAATTTACTACTATTGAAACTTAAATACTATTAGAATTACAGTACTATGAAAATAAAATCAGCACATTTCAGAGTGTTTCTAAAGGATTTTTAAAAGAGCATTGATAAACAACCCAGCACATGAACGTGGACGTTTAAGGAATAAAATATATGCATTGTTTGTGTAAAACTTAGAAGAAATTTGTCTTCATGTGGCTACTGTTGCTTTGTTTTACAGTAAACTGTAGTCATTACCCAAAGCAGTTCTTAAAGAAGTTGCCACTATCATATTTGGAAACTGACTAAGACCAAGACTCTGTCTGGACCTGCCAGAGGATTGAGGAGTGGCAGAATAAGGAAGAAATGGTACGATGAGCCTTCCCTTACAGCACACCTGCATGTGAACCCTGACAAAATTTCTCCTAGTCCACAACTTCTCCTATCAGGGCATGGAATGATGGGTAAAGAGTGAGGCAATAGCCTCCCTCCCCCATATATACCTCTGTAGCTTGCTAAGCAAAACAAGGGAGCAGATACTGTTTATTTAGAAAGCAGGAATATTGCATTCATTTCAGAAATCATATGGACTGTGTCTTTAAAAGACACAATAGAGGTCTATACCAGGAACCACAACTGGCTGTATCTGGACGGGGTGCATGAAATATACTCTAAAAGAACTTCAGTAGAGGTCTATTGGAACCTCCTTATGTCATGTCTCTCTGGGTATGTCTACACATCAAAATTAATTCAAAATAACAGCCGTTATTTCGAATTAACTTTCCTAGCATCTACACAGGCAAACTGCTATTTCAATATAAAATCGAAATAGTGGGGCAGTTATTTCGAATTTGGTAAACCTCATTCTACGAGGAATAACGCCAAATTCGAAATAGCTAATGCGAAATAAGTGCTGACTAGATGCTAATTTCGAAATAGGGGGCCTCCAGCCCTTCCCAGTTTCCCCTGGTGGCCACTCTGGGCCAAACCAGGAAAACTCCTCTCCTCTCCCCCAGCCCTGGAGCCCTTAAAGGGGTAGACTCTGGCCACAGTGCATGTACTAGTTACAGGCCTGCCAACACAGAGCCAGCAGTCACTGACCCTGACCCAGTGGTCCCAGTATGAGCCAGGCAGCCAGTGCCAGCCAGCTGTCCACCGCCCAGTCCCCCAGCTCCCAGGAGCCAGCCAGGGGCCGGAGATGGCAGGCGCCCTCCTGAACTAGTGCGGAGATCAAGGAATTCATTGAGGTTTGGGGGGAAGCCTCCAATGTCCATAGTCTCCGCACTAGATGGAGGAACGCAGCCATGTACAGCCGCATAGCTGCCACCATGGCCACCACAGGCCACATGCGCACCCAGGGGCAGGTGCGCATGAAAATTAAAGAGCTGTGGCAGGCATACGCCAGGGCCACACGAGGCAGCTCCCCAAAACAGGGGCAGACACCTGTCCCCATTTTGACACCCTGGACCGCATAATGGGGGGCAGGACGGTCTGTGCCACCCCAGGGGGCAATGATCCGGGAGCAGAGGGTCCTGACCAGGGCATGGAGGAGGAGCTGCAGGAGCCACCACGGAGGGTGCCATGCCGCCAGGACCCCTGAGCTGTCCCTGCAGCTGAGTCACCAGGGTCATCCGGGGAGGCCATAACATGTGAGTGACATCACTGTCCTCTTCTGGAGTAGGAGGGCAAGGGCAGGGAGGGAGACCAGGGACAATGTGCATCGGCCTTGCTTACCACGGATCACGCAGCAACCTGTGCATGTGTAAGCACGTGTCGTGCCACCCCTGGGCAGGTGGCTCCAGCTGCCTGCCACACAGGGGCCTTGGCCTGATAGCTACATGCATGTGTGAAGAAACATGACATGCTCCTGACCCCGGGGTGGGACACAGCAGGATGTCCTTGGTTCACAAGCCCCCTCTACGCAGAAGCAGGGGACATCTGCCCCCCACCTCAGCTGCACTATACTCAACACAGGGGCATGGGTGCGGTCTCGTGGCAGCTCCCACTTCCGGGGATAGCCGAATATTCTGACCATGACCTCTGTGCAAGCACATCAGCTCTGACGGTGCAGGGCACGGTCATCCTCACCTAGCAGAGGTGGGCTGGGATTCACCCACTGTGTCCCTAGGGAGAATTGACCACTTCTCTTGTTTCTCCACAGCCACACCAGCTGCGTGTGCAGGGTGCACCACTCTGCCCGGGACATCCTCCCGCACCCGAGGGCTCTGCAGGTCCACCCGAACACTGCAGGGGTATCGACAGCAGCACCTGAGGGCCCTGTGAGCCCTGCACTGCACCTTGGAGCTCTGGGTGCAAGACGATTGGGAGTTCCGGCAGTGTAGTAAAGCAGGCCTTTTCTGATCATGGCCTTCATGTATCGCCCATCCTGCCACACTAGGCCCCTCACTGAAAACAGACCGTAAGATACTCAGAAAAGCATGAGAAGCACAATGCAGCTTTCTGTAAATGGAATTTGGCCTTGTAGGCATCATAGAACAGGGTGGTGAGCATGAAAAAATAGAACACAGCTACAAGAGATAAATAAGACTCTCTTGACCAGTCCTTGAAGGGAGGGAGGTAGGCATAGGGAGATAAGATGCAACTGCCATGCACACTGACCATGCCCACACCCAGCACTGTCCACGAGGCCATCAGGCAGGCATCATGAAAAATCCTATAGGGCAGTATTTCACGTTACTTCATTACCAGCCTATCAGGCCCGGCCAGGGAACTGACCCTAATAAGGTACCAGATGTCAGGTTATGTTATAAAAGACCCTCAACCCCTTTGTTCGACGGAGGTTCCGGGTATTGAGGGCACGTGGTTTTTTTGCCCAGCTGAAAGATTGATCACCCTGAGGCTGCCTTCCCCACCCTTCGAGTCAAAGTTAGGGGTGCGCGAGTCCTGAGCATGCTCCGAGTCTTTGTATGTCTTCATGTTGTTATCGTTGCTGGATTTGTAAGTATTGCTTAAATGTATTGGTTATTAGTTTAATTAATAGTTAAATTGTGTTAATTTCACTGTGTAATTTTGTAAAGTGTATCTAAGTTCTGTTAACCACACTGTGTAAATTGTATAATTTTGTGTTGTGTAGTAGTGTTGTATTTAAGCTAAGTATAAGTGTTAGAAATAGAAGCCCAGGAGTTGTTAAGTTGTAAAAGTAGATTTATGACTAACTCCACCAGCTGCCCTAAAATAACCATAGAGGGGCTGGCTTTTGACAGAGTTTTTATTATCATTATATTAGCTTTGTTTTTGTATTTTTTGTTTGCATGCTGCGCTGCCTTAAGCAAATTAGAGACAGTAATTTGGTATAGTTGAATTGTAATCAAAGAAGTTTGTAATTAGTTAAGTATAGCTAAGTTTAAGGTTTTCTACCCTGTAAAAGCATTAGGCAATTGCTAGTTTAAAACACCATTTTCTAATTGTTGGTTTTGATAAAAGAATCAATCCACTTAATAAAGATCATTTGTTTTACACCATCATCCAGTAGTTTTCACTAGGTAATCGGCTTTAACCCTTGAGGCTTCCACCACATCACCGAACCAAGGTGTAACATCTACCACCAGCCTAAATCCACACGGCTACGTCTAGACTGGCCCCTATTCCAAAATAGCCATGCTAATTTCCAACTTTGGAATAGGGAAATCCGCGGGGGTTTAAATATCCCCCGCGGGATTTAAATAAACATGTCCGCCGCTTTTTTTCCGGCTTGGGGAAAAGCCGGAAAAAAGCGTCTAGACTGGCGCAATCCTCCGGAATAAAGCCCTTTTCCGGAGGATCTCTTATTCCTATTTCCTATTTAAATCCCCCGCGGATTTCCCTATTCTGAAGTTGAAAATTAACATGCCTCTTCCGGAGAAGGGGCCAATGTAGACCCTCCCCAGCTACCACTCATCCTCCCACTCCTTCTCCTCTTCCCGCCTCTCCCTCCACACCCTCCTCAGCCTCCACACCCTCCTCCCCATGCCTCGGGGACATCGAGGCCCCCGAACCCGCTGTGCTCGGAGACAGTTGGCCTGGCGAGACCCCCACCGCTACCCCGAGCTTCCCCTTGCTCCTCTTGCTTCCCCCTTCCAGCTCCCTCCTCCCAGGTTTCCCCCTCCCCTCCTCTCTTCTCCCCTCTCCGGTTTCCTTTCCACAGTCTCCCCAGAGTTTCATCTCCCCCCCCTCAGTTTTGTTAAATTTTTGAATATACGTGTTTTTTATTTGACATTAGGAAGAAGGGTTGGGGGGAGTATGGGTAAGTGGAAGGATGTGAGGGAGGAATGAGGCACAAGCCCCGAGTGGGGAAAACCAGGGAGGCTCTGAGTGCTCCTCAGGGTGGATGCTCTCTTGCAGGGCCTCCTGGATACTGACAGCCCCCCGATGGACCTCCCAGATGGCAGCCTGCAGCAAGTGCAGCCATGCTGACAGCAACGCGTCCACAAGAAGCACCAGAGTGTCCACAGGAAGCTTTGTCTCCATGTTGCAGAGTGCTGTGGTGTCCTGAGTGAGGGCAACCAGAGCACACAGACACACAAATGCTTTGCTCTCCCTCAGTGAGGGTATGTCTACACTACAAAGTTAATTCGAACTAACTTAGTTTGAATTACTTAATTCGAACTAAGCTAATTCGAACTAACGCATCCAGACTAAAAAACTAGTTGGAATTAGCGTTTTGCTAATTCGAACTAGCATGTCCACACAGAGTGGAACCTGAACCGGGGTTAAGGATGGAAGCAGTGCCGGCAGGGCATCAGATGAGGACTTAGAGCGTGGAGCTGCTGTCTCAGGCTAGCCAAGGGCTGTGCTTAAAGGGACCCGACCCCCACCCCGAACAGACAGTTCTCAGGGATTCCCCGCTTGCAAAGCAGTCCTGGCTTGGAGTGCCCGGAGTACCCACACTGGGCACATCACAGCACTCAGCCATCAGACCGGCTGCACTTGCCGCATGCTGCCATCTGGGGAGAGGAGGCAATTGGGGGGCTGCAGGAGAGGTTCCACCCCCAGAAGCCCGCAGAGCCAGCCCAGTCCTCCCCATCGGGGGCTTGTACCCCATTCCTCCCTCATCTCCTTCCACTTACCGCTCCCTAACCCCCCTTCCTGATGTACAAAATAAAGGACAATTGTGTTCAAAAATAGAATCTCTCTTTATTGAACAAAACTGGGGGAGACTGGGAAAAGGAGGTGGGAGAGGGGAAGAGAGAGGGTGGGAGAGGGGAGGGCAACTACAAGGATGAGGGGTTTGGAACAGGTCTCATATGAAGAGAGGCTAAAGAGACTGGGACTTTTCAGCTTAGAAAAGAGGAGATGGAGGGGGGATATGATAGAGGTCTCTAAAAGCATGAGTGGGGTGGAGAGGTGCATACAGAAAAGTTCTTCATTAGTTCCCATAATAGAAGGACTAGGGGACACCAAAGGAAAGGAATGGGTAGCAGGCTTGAAACTAACAACAGAAAGTACTTTTTCACAAAGCAAATAGTCAACCTGTGGAACTCCTTGCTGCAGGAGGCTCTGAAGGCTAGAACTAGAACAGAGTTTAAAGAGAAATGAGAT